AAGGCATTTGCTCCTTGGAAGAAAAGCTATGACAAACCTAGTCAACATATTAAAAAGCAGAGACATTACTTTGCCAACAAAGGTCCATATAGTCAAATATATGGTTTTTCCGGTAGTCATGTGTGGATGTGCGAGTTGGACCATAAAAAAAGCTGAGCACTGAAGAATTGATGCTTTTGAGCTATGGTGTTGGAAAAGACTCTTGAGAATCCCTTGGACTGCAAGGAGATCAAACAAGTCAATCTTAAAGGAAATAAATCCTGAATATTCATTGGGAGGACTGATGCTGAAGCTGAAGCTCCAATGCTTTGGCCACCTGATGCAAAGAACTGACATTGGAAAAGACTCTGATGCTGGGCAGGAAGAAACGGGGATGACAGAGGATGACATGGTTGGGTGGCATCACCAACTCAATGGACCTGAGTTTGAGCAAGCTCCAGGAGTTGGTGATGGACAGGGTAGCCTGGTGTGCTACAGTCCATGGAGTCTCAAAGAATCAGACCTGACTGAGAGACTGAACTGAACTGACTGATAATGTGTTCTCTGGCCACAAATGAACCAAACTAGAAATCAATGGTAGAAGTATAATAGGAAAATATCCAATCACTGAGAAATTAACCAATACACTGCATCAAAAAGGGAACAAAATTTTTAAAAATCCACTGAACTGAATGAAAACACAATATGCCAACATTTGTTTGGCACAGCAAAAGCAGTACTGAGAGTGACATTTATATCACTAAATTCATATATTAGAAAAGCTTATAATCTAAACTATCTCAAGAACCTGGAACAACAAAAGCAAAATAAAAAGCAAGTCACCAATCATGCCTAGTGTCATTTAATATGGACATGTGCCAAAATTAAACACTATCTTACTATAACGTATAATTATGTTCCCTGCTGAAGAGCGCGTCTCACGAAACATATCTAGCGATAGAAGACAAATATTACTAATTGCATCATCAACTTACAATTAACTCACACGTGTTTTTCTCTTGCCTTTTCAGAGGTAAAATGTTTTCAAAGTACAACATTGTATACACACCTTCCCTGATGGCTCAGTGGAAAAGAATCTGCCTATCAAGTAGGAGACTCAGATTCAATTCTTGGGTAGGGAAGGTCTTCTGGAGAAAGAAATGGCAACTCACTCCAGTATTCTTGCCTAGGAAATCCCATGGACAGAGAAGCCTGGTGGGCTACAGTCCATGGGGTCACAAAAGAGTCAGACATGAATGAGTGACTAAACAGCAATAGCAACACGCATTTTCACTACATATGTACTTGTCTGTTCAATTAGTAAAATGCATTTGAACACACAGTACAAACTTGTGTAGGCCGAAAAACAACCGTTATATTTAGGCTCCTTTAGTTTACGGATAATAAAAAAGTCAGTGATTCTAGAAATGTACCATTTTAAACAAATTAAGACAAATTAAACAATAAAGTTTTGTACTACATAATGAATTAATTTTATTTTAGCAAATCTTGAAGAAAGTATGTGCTATGATCTCTAGACTAAAATGTACTTAGAAAATAAAAATAAAGACATTGTCTCACATTTGAAAATGGATGTCAAATTAAGTGACTAAATTAGAGTTTCTATGATTACATACTTTTCTACTTCACATATTCAAGAGCAATGTAATGGCATAAAGGAAAGTTTTCTTTGAATACTTGAAAAACAATATGGCATTTAATGCCTTCAAAGTTATCCCTTTATCTCTGACTAGGGTGTGTGCCTAGTCAGAAATTTAAAAGAAAATTAAAGAAGAAAGTAAGTGAATACCACAATGGGCAACATGGTTTGGGAAAAATCACAGTTTGAGTTATATCAGTTATGCCTTATTGAAAACCAAAAGACAATGGTAAAGCTATTTACATTTGAGCATTGCTGAAACATTCTTCTTTGCTTTTCATTGGATCCTAGGGAAAATTATGTAATTATTAAGTATAATGATGCTTTTTTAATAAGAGATCGTTTCATAGGATCAAAAGACAGGCTGCCGAATTTCTTATTCTTTCCTTTTTTTTTTTTGTCCACCAAGCAAAAGTAATTGCTTTCTGTTTATTCTTTGCCTATTCTATGAAACTTATTTTGAAGGTAGTCATACAAAATGCTGGCATGGACAATAAGAGGTACTTTGTAGGGTAGGTGTTATTTAATTAAATATAAAAAGCAAATTTAAAATAATACTATGCTCACAATAATGAGACAGCTCTAATTGAAGGCCACTAGAGTGCTTTTAGCACACTCCTCAGCATCGAGCAGCCATGGCAAAGTAGCTGTTCCTTCACAAACCGTCTTTCATCAGTTCTGTCTTATCCTCTTATCCTGAGAGACATATTCAATATAATTATATCTTCCATTTCCCCATTTGTCTTTAATTGGTTAGAATACTATCAATTGTCTGAAATGGGGGTCCTTTAAATATATATATATGTTTAAATTATATATTAATATATACACATATATTTGAAGATGTAGAAGAGCCAGAGAGAATATTACAATCTCAAATTGCATCTTTCTTTTATTAAGACAATAAAATACAACTCAGAATATTTTTGAGTCACCATCATTAAATTATTAGCCCAATATTATAGGAACAATAGAGTAGAGCACTGAGGTTATTAAACAGTATAGACCTAGATTATCAATGTAATAAAAAAATCAAATTTTTGTTCAAAATTAAAGAACTGTATAAATGTTTCCTTTGCTAAATTCTACTACATCCTCTTCCATGTTCTGAGTTATATTTGTCCGTGTAGAAAAGTATTTAACATCAAATTTAGATATTTTTGAGTTATGCTGTCTTGAATACTAATATCTTTCACCAATTTGCATTTAGATACTACTATTAGCCAAGGAGTTATTGATCTATGTTAGGTATTAATTCAATGATCAACATAAATACTCTAAGTAGAGCTATAATTACACAGCTAAGTGGATGCTTTCTCTTGAAAAGATTTTAAAACTATTTTAGTGGTATAACAGGATCAGCACAATACCTCCAAACTAGCACCCTGGGATATTAATAAATGTAAAGTTTTAAAAGATTCCATGGGCAAATAAGTTAAGCAAATACAAAATTAAATACACTCTTTTTTTAGTGTAGTATGTCTCAGAATTTTTGTTATGTTGATGAGTATATTAAGTGGGGCAAACATTTAGAAATGCTAATCTTTCAATAGGATTAGTGAAAAGAAGATTTCTATGAGTAAATATATATAAGAAATATTCTCTTTTCCAACAGACGTAAACAGAAGTGTCTGACAAAGTCGTCTGGCCCAGGACATAAGAATAATGCATTTAAAAGAATCATCTGCTGCACATTTTTCATTTGTTGTGGTATTTGATCCAAACTATTTCATGTCTCCCATTTAACTTTTGAATAAAAAATTAAAGCTAAAAGCAGGTTTAGTACAGGAGAAGAGCCGCAGAGGGCCAGAGCTAAGCCAGTGGGCTCTATTTTTGAAGCAGCCTTTTATTTCTGCATCTCTGATATCCAAGGCATAGCTTTCAAAAACACTTCTCTTGTGACTAGGTTGCTTTTATCTTTCCCATTTTATTAAAGGAGTTAAATGGAAGGTATTCTGAAACTCCAATTTAGCTTTTATTTTTCAATAAAAATGACAGTCGAAAAACAGTATAACCACAGGAGAGGCAGGGCAGCCTGGCACAGAGGGGGTGGATGCCCGCTGAGCTGGGAGTACAAAGTGTTTGGATAACACACTCACCAGGCTTCCTAAACACCTTGGTGAGACACTGTCAGAGGAGGGCAAATAATGGTCTTTATCTTTGAATTCACCCCAGCTCTTTCTGCTGTCATGAAATTTTTATTTAAAGAAATCTAAAAAGAAGACCATTTGAATATGGTTCTTAAACACTCCAATGCACTTATTTGGGTTTGATGTGCCTTTATGCCATAACTTAGAAAGTATAAATTTCTCATCTTCATTATAAGTAGAATAGGCTATCCCCAGGTCTCTCCCATTAATCATACTGCTCATTTGACAGTATATCCATAAGTAATATTTACTGAATTTATAGTGAAGTCCTAAGTTGTGAGCATGAACTGCCTCCATAAATAACCTTCTAAAACATCATGTGTTTAGAAAAGGTTTGAGATTGTCAAAAGTGCCATAAACCTTGAATAATTTTAAAATAAAATCTCAAAACAGGCAGTGATTTCTAAAATATGCCATAGATATATTAATATAACTGATAGGGAAGAACATGCTGCATTGGTTTATTTTTTGCCAGCATCATGCAGGGTTAAGGTGCTCTTGTTCACTTGTTTATTTTAAGGATGATGTGTGTTCATTGATGATATGATGATACTAATACTTGGTTAATTATGGTGTGGAAGTTCATATTGAATCCAATATAACAGTATAACTTGGAATTACACAGAACAAATTATGTTAATATTGTTAGTCTTATTTTTCAAAATCTTAAATGAGAAAGGAATTTACATTAGTATTGACCAACAGAGACCTGGAGGTAAATGATAGAGGTAGAGATGAAAGAAGGGGGAGATCTTTCCATAGTATATTTTGGGAGAGGCACAGAGTCAACAGCTCAGATTTGTGGGTCTACTATCCTAAGCTGTAAATTCCATGATCTGAGGAGCAGATCTTAATGTTCTTCCTGGCTTTGCCTTGTTCCTGGGTGGAGATATTCTGAATTGATTTAAAGCTGAATAACACTGGGTTTTGCAGTGAGTGGTCCCCTCCAAGTCTTTTCACTTAGATGTGCCAAGTAAAAATATTAGTGAAAATGATTTTCTATAAGAAACATGAAATGAGATACTTAAAAAGCTTCAGAAATGTAATAAGTGTGCCCTAATTGTTAGATGTTATTAAAATGTGACATGGAGGGTCTTCATATTCACACAATTATCAGATTAATACATTAGCACGTTGTCCTCTCAATCTGAAATTAGTAGTAGCTGCTCTAGAGACATAAATGCTAATCTAGCCTTCTTTTTACCAGTAGTTACAAGTTCATCAAAATACAAAAATAACTAGAAGGTTATCATAGATTTGGGCTGAGAGCATGGGAAGTTCCATGATAACAATGTCTGAATCTCAGGGTGTCTTCCACATCACTTTAGAGGTATGTTTTCCTGGTTTTCCACTGGTTTCCCTTTTATCTGAACCAGATTAACCAATAGATTTCACCTGATAAACTTCTGTTGAATTTGTGACCAGATAAATTGTTTTGACAAGTATGCTTTGTGAAAAGTATCTAAAAGGTGGCTTTATAGTTACAGCAAAAGAACCTGTTCCCATATTTAAAATGCAATTATAAATCTGAATATTTTAAATTTACAATTAGTTGCATCAAATTACTGAAACTCATAATGCATCAAGAAAAAAATGTTAATATGTTGTTACATTTTTGGTAACTGTTTAAAGTTAAAGAAAACAGACATGCCAAGTAGATAATACCTAGCTTCCATTAAAGAAATAAGATTAACTGTTACACGCCTTTTTTCATAATGAAGAAAGCCATCTGCTTTATCCAAAAAGATTCCTGGAATTGTAACTCTTATTTGGCTCCTTTATTATAGTTTCCATTTGGTAACATTGACTAATTAATAGATTGATTGCATTTTGTCTATTTTGACTTTACAGAAAGAAAGCTTCTTGAGAGATGTGATAACACCAGAAATGGTATTCCAAAGGCCCTGTGATTGCATGACCTGGAGATAACTCATTACTGAGGCAGAGAGAGTTGCTATTAAGGATGGAATATAAGATGCAGAACCTTTATGACTATGTTAAAAACGTTTATACGTCAACATATCATACTGCCCACTGTCCCAGAAGTGGAAAAATAGATTTATCATCTAGATAATTCAGACTGAACTTCCCCTTTGCCAGAGTTGTTTGGAAAATTATATTAATTTTCTTTGCTCAAATTAGAAAGCTTTTTTTTCCCTGAAATTTGAGAACTGTTTTGACCATTTGAAGACATTCAGAAACTCCTCTGCCCTCTTTAAATTCAGCATCATTATTAGAAAGTGTGCTTTCTGTTATAATTATAGCAGTTACGCTGAGCTTAATTTCTAAACAGGTTAAAGTTTTATTTTATTATGAAAATAATATATGGTCATTGGAAAAATTCAACCAATGCAGGCATGTATAAAGTAAAAATGCATGCATGCATTGTCACTCAGCTGTGTCTGACTCTTTGTGACCCTATGGACTGTAGACCACCAGGCTCCTCTGTCCATGGGATCATCCAGGCAAGAATACTGAAGTGGGTTGCCATGCCCTTCTCCAAGAGGTCTTCTTTACTTAGGGATTCATATCTCCTATGTCTCCTGCATTGGAGGCATATTTTTTCCCACTTAGCCATTTGGGAAGCCCTTAGGATAAAAGTTAAGGCATCCATATGCAAACACCCCTACCCTGATACTGTCCCCAAGTGGCTCAGTGGTAGAGAATCCACCTGCCAATGCAGGAGATGCAAGAGACAAAGGTTAAATCCCTGGGTCAGGAAGATCCCCTGGAGTAGGAAATGGCAACCCATTCTAGCCTTCTTGCCCAGAGAGTCCCATGGACAGAGGAACCTGGCAGGCTACAGTCCAGGAGGTCACAAAGAGTCAGACATGACTGAGCACAAAAAAAGAAGAAAAAAAGACCCTACTACTCTCCCTAGAACTAGCCACAGTCAGCATTGTTAAGATCACTTCTCTAGACATTTGACAGTTCAATACATCTTCATGGGTGTATACTAAATAGTTTATACACATAAATCGGTACAGGTATTTTTCTACTTCTGGCTTTTTGAGATAACACTACATTTTGGAAATCTCTCCATGTCAGCACAATGAAAATTGCATAAAGTGCCAAAGCACTGAAGTACCAACATTTATTAAGCAACTCTGTATCAAGTTGTGCTAGTCTCTTGAAGATTCTGCTAGTCACAAGAAACAGTGGTCACCATGAAGGATTTTGGTGTTTTTCTAGATATGTGGAGAGACAAGAATCATAAAATCAGTTCCTAAGAATATCTAAACTATCTAAAACCTGCCCTATCAATTTTCTAGGACCACAAAGTGCATCATTTCTGCTCTCCACCCTGAACTCCTTCAGCGGGTGATGGAGATAGCAGCTCCAGCAGGACAGGATTTAATCCTTGAAGAGGTAGATCGCAAGCACCCACGGCAAGGGCCAGTGTGTAGCTGACAATGCTCAAGAAGCAATAACTTATTCTGTATTTCTGGCTTTATACCTGTTCTTTGCAAACCTCTCTTTCAACAGAATAAATACTCATCATACTTCTTTTTATATTTGTTGTGCCCTTGAGTATTTATATTTATTAATTTCTCTACTATATGGTGAGGTGTTATCATTATTATCACATAATAAATAAGCTGCTTTAAATTATTTATATTGAGTTTTATTTTACTATTTCTCTTCTTAAAACTATTTTTGAAAATCTGTTTTTTACTTAGACAACAGTATAATACATCTGAGGAAAGCTACTTATTTTAATGAGAGGCAAAAAAATTACACTAACTTTCTTGGAAATATTTGAATTGTGTATAGGAGTACATTTCCCTAACTTCCTATTTCTCCTCTCTCTCCTTTTTTTTTTTTTTTGACCAATGTTCAATTATCTCTTTAAGGACCTACAGTTTAATGATAATTGAATTATCTTAGATAAGATAAACCACTCCCTAGGATTCAATATATTATCTGCTCTTGGCTTCCTAATTTAAGCCCACAGCAGAAGAGGCAATAGTTTTCTTTGATTGTGCAAAGTTTTAGCCTAGAGGAAAAAGTAAAGAAAGTAGGAATAACATCTGAAGGTTGAAAGGTAGTTTCTGTTTCTTCAGGATTCTGAAAGAAATCTTGAAGATTTCTTCAAGTAAAATAATCCATACAGTTTTCAAGCGCTTATTACTGAATTTAAATACAGTTGGGAGAGAGATCCCTTTGAGATGAGATGTAGCCATTGGTTCCTATTCCAAAAGGATTCTATTCCTTCCAGAGGAATCCACTACAGTGCAATTGATTTCTTTCCTATATTCTAATCTGCTCATGTCAAAAAAATAAAATGTGGTTGTTTCAGCAGCATATATACTAAAATTGGAATGATGCAGAGAAGATTAGTATGGCCCCTGTGCAAGGGTGACATGGAAACTCCTGAAGTGCTCCAAATTTTTATTTGCGTCATTGTAAGGCAGAAGCAAACACAACACTGTAAAGCAATTATCCTCCAATTAAACATTTTTTTAAAAAATAAAAATAATTATCAAAAACAAAACAAAATTACTAAGAACTCTACAAACTGTCTCTCTTTCTCCTATTTTAATATCTTTCGATTTCCATTCATAATGTGTTAGGAGTCTATTCATGTGTCCCTATACCTTTTTATACACTCACTCCCATGTTGACTGCAGCACTATTTGCAATAGCCAAGACATAGAAACAACCCAAGGGTCCATTAATAGATGAATGGATAAGAAAGGATGCAGTATATATACACAGTGGAGTATTACTCAGCCATCAGAGAAGCTGGAAAGGCAGGAAAGAAATTCTGCCATTTTCAACAAATGGATGGACCTTGAGCACATTCTGCTGAGATAAGTCAGACAAAGTAAAACAAGTGTACTGTATGATATCATTTGCTTCCCAGGTAGCTCAGGTGGTAAAGAATCTGCCTGTAATGCAGAAGACAAAGGTTCACTCCCTGGGTTGAGGAGATCCCCCAGATAAGGAAATGGCAACCCCCTCCAGTATTCTTACCTGGAGAATTCCGTGGAAAGAGGAGCCTGTTGGGCTCAAGTCCATGGGGTTGCAGAGTTAGACATAACTGAGTGACTCATTCACACACATACACACTCACACAAACACAAGATGTCACTTACATGAGACATAAAAAAGTCAAACTTATAAAACACATAGAGTGAAACCATGTTTAGCAGAGGATGGAGGAGGGGAGTATAAAACTGATGGACTTTAAGGGCACAAACTTGGCAGCGAGTAGTAAATAAGCTGTAGAGCTCCTCCTAAACTATTGTATTCCTCCCTGCTAAAGTCCTGAATTAAGTGTTGAATCTGACTCCAGTGAGAACAGCTCCAACCAGTATTGTTAAAAAAATAAAATTTATGACTTTGGCAATTTCATCCTTCTGTTTCTGTCTGATGTATTTCTCTAATTTCATCAGGATAAAAATTGGAATGATGCAGAGAAGATTAGTATGGCCCCTGTGCAAGGGTGACATGGAAACTCCTGAAGTGCTCCAAATTTTTATTTGCGTCATTGTAAGGCAGAAGCAAACACAACACTGTAAAGCAATTATCCTCCAATTAAACATTTTTTTAAAAAATAAAAATAATTATCAAAAACAAAACAAAATTACTAAGAACTCTACAAACTGTCTCTCTTTCTCCTATTTTAATATCTTTCGATTTCCATTCATAATGTGTTAGGAGTCTATTCATGTGTCCCTATACCTTTTTATACACTCACTCCCATGTTGACTGCAGCACTATTTGCAATAGCCAAGACATAGAAACAACCCAAGGGTCCATTAATAGATGAATGGATAAGAAAGGATGCAGTATATATACACAGTGGAGTATTACTCAGCCATCAGAGAAGCTGGAAAGGCAGGAAAGAAATTCTGCCATTTTCAACAAATGGATGGACCTTGAGCACATTCTGCTGAGATAAGTCAGACAAAGTAAAACAAGTTTACTGTATGATGTCATTTGCTTCCCAGGTAGCTCAGGTGGTAAAGAATCTGCCTGTAATGCAGAAGACCCAGGTTCACTCCCTGGGTTGAGGAGATCCCCCAGATAAGGAAATGGCAACCCCCTCCAGTATTCTTACCTGGAGAATTCCGTGGAAGGAGGAGCCTGTTGGGCTCAAGTCCATGGGGTTGCAGAGTTAGACATAACTGAGTGACTCATTCACACACATACACACTCACACAAACACAAGATGTCACTTGCATGAGACATAAAAAAGTCAAACTTATAAAACACATAGAGTGAAACCATGTTTAGCAGAGGATGGAGGAGGGGGAGTATAAAACTGATGGACTTTAAGGGCACAAACTTGGCAGCGAGTAGTAAATAAGCTGTAGAGCTCCTCCTAAACTCTTGTATTCCTCCCTGCTAAAGTCCTGAATTAAGTGTGGAATCTGACTCCAGTGAGAACAGCTCCAACCAGTATTGTTAAAAAAATAAAATTTATGACTTTGGCAATTTCATCCTTCTGTTTCTGTCTGATGTATTTCTCTAATTTCATCAGGATATTAAAGTCATCTAAGTTTTGTGTTACTCTTTGTATTATTTAATTTTCTCCTATTCGTGACCTCTTTATGCCTGTAATTCTTTTAGGAAAAGGGACGTGTCGCTATTCTCGCCTTCATCATATTTACTATCTGCAAGATTCCACTCTAAAGTTTCTTCACTCGTCTCTTGAAATATTTACCAGTCTGGGACCTTAAAGTTTCCAAAGGTAACAAAAACTTCTCTTTTAAAAATTAGTGCTTTCTTTTTAGAGTAGGAGATTTCTACAATATTCCATTTTGCTAATACGGAGTAATGGTGACAACAAAAGGTGCATTTCTACTATGATCTCTGTTTCCTGCTGTAATGCTTTCTGCTTCTTTCTCTTTATCCTTTTATTTACTTTTTAAAAAAAAATTTTTTTGATATGGACTGTCTTCCTACTTTCTTTCAGTGCAGTTCAGCTGGACTTGTCAAATATTAACCTTTCTTTCTACTGGTGCTAAATCTAACTGGACTCAACTAATTCAAATGTTTCCCTTTCCCCACTTCCCAAATCTCCTGTTAGAAATGCAGTAATAAAGCATAATATTAAAGTTGGTTCCATTCCTCACTGACTTGTTTTTCATCAGAATCCAGGACAATCTTATGAATAATTATTTTAATACTGTATGAATTGTATTATGGCCATCATGATTTGCAAACTGGGCTATAAATACCCTTGAGAACGTAGCTTCTATAGTAGGAATAATAAAAGCTCTTGAAACTCCTTAGAGAATCAACTCTACTCAAAGATTTGGGAGAAAATTATTTAGTATTTAAAAAAACAACATTGACATATTATAGAAAATGTCATAAAATTATTTTAAAGGGTAAAGATGAGTCTTTAAAGGAATTTTATGACTACATTTTAGCAGTTTTGATCTAAGCTCAACAAATGAATGAAAGTTTACATGCATTCTTCTCTGTCCTTATTGACAGATGCTGCTAAAAAGTTCTGACCCAAATGTTTTGAAATAGTTATATCAAATAAGTATTTTCATTGCCCCTGAGCAAGCAAAGATGCTTCAGAATGAGACACTAACTTAATTAGGTTAAAATATATACAAACGCACATAGACATTAAAAATTCAAGTTTTCAAAGAACATTTAATAACATTAGAAAAGTTTATGGACTTTTTAATTAAGTGAAAAATAAAGCTGGCTATGAAGCTTATTGATGATGGGAATTCAACTTTTGGTTACAAAATACATATATTTTATTATGTGTGCATCAGCTGCTCAGTCATGTCCAACTCTTTACAATTCCATGGACTTTCACCCACCAGATTCCTCTGTTCTGGGATTCTCCTGGCAGGAGTGCTAGAGTAGGTTGCTATTTCCTTCTCCAGGGGAACTTCCCATCTCAGGGATCGAACCCAGGGCTCCTGCATTGCAGGCAAATTCTTTACCATCTGAGCTGCCACTATAAACATAAACTAAATGCAAATGAACACAATATATAAACATGTTAAATGTCAAATGCTTTGTTATGTTGGTGGGATTTGGTGATTTTCATTTTCTTGTTTATATTTTTCTCTATTTTTATCAATAATTAAACATTCTATAATCAGAACAAATCTGTTTTAGTACTCAATAAAAACTTTCATATTCTATTATATATTCTTTTAGAATAGTGATTATATCCTATTTAACTTGAGTCACTCGAATGAAAGCTGAAACCACCTACAGCACACAGCCTATTCTCTACATTAACATAACTCTACTCCACCATTAGGCTGTCTTTACCAATATCACTTTACTATTCCATTGTCTTCATCAACCAACATACGTTTACTATTCCAGGAAACTCTTGACCGGGAAGATAAGTTGAAAGTAACTTTATTGTTCATTTAGAAGCTTCCAGGAAAAATCATTTAAATGAACATCAAGCCATCAAGACTTTTCAATACATAGCATTATACAACTATTTAGTCTTCTAGTCTTTTCTCTTTGTACACCCTCACCTCAAGACCCTCCCTTTGCAGTGTCCACCAATACAC